AAAACAAAAATTAAGAACACAAACTTTGCAGAATGCTTTAAAAAAAAAAAGAAGTCACTTCACATATACATGAGAATAGTTTTTAACAAGAATATGACAGGAACTGCATCTCGTTGAGACCTTTATCACATTAAAGACAGCCTTCCAATGCCTCGCAAGACTTCCTGCTTTTTTAAGATTCTCAGTTCCCCTCCCCACCCTCTATTTGCCTAGGTAATCACAAGAAGCCTCAAATTTAGCTCAACACTCCAGTCTTTATTAAGCATTTTGACTGTGCAAGATTAACCTTCATGAGTCACAGTAGTCATCTCCTTCTGCAGTCTGCTCCCACCGCTTAAGTATTAGCTACCTCCCAGACAGATCCTAAAGCAATAATGAGCTCAGCTTCACCAGGCGTAAGCTCTACCGCGAAACCTAGCTCCCCTCTCGCCACGATTTCAGCATTTGCCGCATGCGTGGCACACAGACCATCCAAATGCATTGATGGGATTTATACAATAGCATGAAGTCATGGTCAAAGCTCTGTGTTGCAGGCCAAGTCTATAACAGACCAGAGGTTAGATCAAAAGATTAATGGATAATCAATGTTGTAAATAAAATGAAGTGGAAAGATCAGTCTTCCCCCTGAACTTTTTGTTTTTATTTCCTCACTTTTCCAGGTTAGGGTCATGGGAACGTATCCTGCTGCAGCCTTACTTGACAGTAACCATCATTTTTGTTCAGTAATTACAATGCAGGTGCTGTGGATCCAGTGCACCTTGCTTTGGAGAGGCCTTTGCTTCTTGCCTGTTTAAAAACCTCTTACAGCACACTAAACTTCAGGTTTTTCTTTTTGTACATATCAGTTTTATCCTTCAGCAAGGGACAATTTAAACTCCTGTTAGTTAATCTAGACAACAGACTTCCCTTTCTCCGCCTTTTCCTCCTCTCCTCATACATGGATTGTGGTGGGAATTTCTAATTGAGATTTCATTAGGATAAACAAATTCAGATGAAAGAGATTGTTATAGGATCAGAGGACTACAAAATGGAAAAGCAGAATTCATGTGATGATCACAAACCAGAAGAAAATTCTCATAACTAAATAACATTTTACAAAGTTAAGAAAAGCAACAAAGGAAGGTTGAAGACAACCAACACAAACAAGCCATCAAAGGCCTCACCTGGAGACAGCACAAAACAGAAGGATATGTATCTCTTACTACAGGGTGTCTCTTACTACAGGGAGGAGGATCTTAATTTTAACGTCTTCCTAGTGCATCACAGTTTGGGTTATGGCCCCTCTCTGTCAGGCAAGCAAGAAAGAGCTGGGATAACTCCTGCTCCAAAAAAAATCTGGCAGCTGTTGCAGAAGGGTCTTAACCTCCAAGAGTCAGAGTCTGCTGCCTTCAGTCCTCATCCAGGATCTCGATGGACTGAGAACCCAAATCCCTTCCCTTATCTGAGAAGACACTTCTCTGCCATTTGCCGGCCTATTGAGCTTTGAATAACGGCATGTCCAGTCTGGTTTTTGAAAAGGAATCATCCACTCCTTCCAATATGTTAATTGCCAGGTTATTAAAACTGTATTTACCAGGTTAATTGTGCTGAGAATGTTTCATTCACATATATGGCCTAGTGAAGATGGCCTGCGGTGTGTGTTGTCTTTAGGTTTTATAATTAGTAATGCAAGACAGTTGAAAACTCAAGCATCTGCGTCCCAGCTTGGAAGTCTGCTCGGCAGCAAAAAGGAGCTGTCAGGACTGGAGCCACGCAGGCGTTTGAAGGTTAGGGGGCTCTCCTCTGCTCCTCTGCTTTCTGTTTTTCGGGTTACTTATTGTGGGTTTTTCTACTATTTGCAAGGTAAGCATGCCATGTATGTTCTCTTGCAAGCTGTGGTAGTGAACTTGCTTGTTGCAGGTTCATGGTCAGATGGTAGATGCATGGTCTGAACTTGTAACAAGGGATTATAGAGCAAAGAGAGCAATTTTTCTGTACAGTCCTTCTGACACTACAGGGAAACTCTTTGTTTCTAAAGAGCCTTTAAGGGTGAAACCAAAACAGGGCCTGCATTTAAATTGCCTACCTTTCCGTGCAAAATCTGTCCCCGTGGATAGCTTGAAGAAGGCACTTATGCACGCTTAATTTGAATGGGTTTGGGGGTTTTTGTGCAGCTGCAGAGCATGGTCTCCTCAGTAAGGTCTGACACAATTATGCCAAAGATCACAGCGGGGCTGGTCAAAAGCCCTCCAAAATATGCTGGATCTCTGGAACCACTAGGTTTGTTGTCTCTGCACAGGTTGTGAAGTTTTCAGGAAGCGAGAGCGATCCTGCTGGTGTTTTCCATGCTGGCATCAAGCCAATCCCGCAGGCAGTGCCCACAGGCCTCGTGCAGCCATCAGGGGTGCTCAGCAGCTGCCCAGGAGCAGCTGAGGACCTGGCTGAGCTACTCACTGTGGCTGTGGTTGCCAGAGACCTACTGCACCCTACACAACTGCTGCCCCATCAGGAAACACCTTGTGTTAGGAAGTGGGTGCGTCCCGATCCCAGAAGAGAGATACCAGGGTCCCGCAACCTGCTGAAAGGTCTTTCTCTGGCTCTTTCCCAGACTCCTTCTGCCTTTCAGCTTGTCACACTGCCCTGACTTGGCCAGAGGGGTGCAAAGGGAGGCAGGGCCGCCCTGGGTAGTTGTGTGGTACACCCAGGTGGGATCCAAAACGAGTGCAAGGAGGGTCTTGCCAAAAATGCTGCAAAGGCTTGTGGACTGGGCGACGTGTAGTGTCAATGCAATTGGTGAGACATGCAAGTACCCTGAGAGTACAGCACCATGGGGCGCAGCTGAGGGAAGGGTGCGGACGTAGCCATTTGTATGAATGAGGAGAGTGAGCCCCAAGATCAGAGGCACCTCAAGACAGTGGCATTAAGTTTGGAGTAGCAGTTGGACCGCTAATTGCATGTGAGAGGCAGACACAGCCTAACAGATAAGCCACAAGACAACACTTAAACTTCAGACCAAATTCAGTAGCCAGCTTTTTGTCAATGCACACCTAAGTGTTTACGACAAACTCCATAAACGAGCACACCACCGTTTTCTAGTTTCAGTCTCCAAGCTGATGCAAAAGAGAAGCTGCAAGTAGAATATAATGCAGTTTCTAATATTAAGGTCTAAAAAGTATTGATCATATAAATCTCTCCATTCTGAAGGGAAATTAATATAATTGTTTGTACAGACATGAGAAAAGTCATCTGAGAAGTGCTGCTGCATGATCAGTTAAAAATAGCGAAACCAAATATTAAGAATTTGAGCAACAGAAAGTAGAAAAATAGCCGTCAGGCTCGTACAATCCAAGCACAATTTTATAATCATCTCCCTTACCTTGTTGGCATCTCACTTGGAAATCTTGCACAGACTTAAGACTGTCTCTTTCAGACATGGGATAAGAAATTTCAAAGCGCTGACTTTAGATGGTACGAAAGAAGGTGGCTGTAACGACCATCCTGAGAATCCTTTCTATCATCTCTTCTGCGGTCTTGTCTACACACGGAACAGGAGAAGTAAAAGGTTGCAGGAGCTCCACAGGGATGCACTCAGCCAGAAGAGTAAACGGTAGTAAAAAAATTACCTCTGGGATGTCCCCAAGAGATAGAGGTGAAAGCCAGCCATGCCAACTGCTGTAGGCCTTGCGAAGCGCATCAACAGTTGCGAAACTGCAAGCAGCCAGCAGGTCTGTCTGCCTTGGTCGAAGCACCTTCCTGGTTCTCCAGCCAGGAGGTCATCTGCTACAGCGACCAATGTCGTGCGTGCATACGCTCAGCTATAAACCCAGACGGGCAACAATCAGGAAGACCCAGAACACCTAGCTAATGGGAACCTTTTCTAGAGGCACCACGGATGAGTTAGCTGGGTTGCCTTTTGTGCAGCCTTGGCATCATGAAGGAAGCCAGGAAACCAGCGCTTTTAGTTTTCTTAGTGTGCTGCCTTCCACTGTTAATTACAAGGACTGCATAACACACGCCAAATTTTTTTTTTTTTACAAACTGCTTATGTTAGAAAAAAGATTGTAATTAATTTAGCAATAAAAGTCAACAGGCTTTTCGTTACTGACTGGGAAATGAATATCAAAAAAAAAAGGTTATGCTTAAACATGAAAAGTCCAAAGATGTTAGTTCTTTGTCAAAATAAATCTTAAGAGACGAATTTGTGTTCCATACAGAAATAGGTTTATTGAAAATCTTACAGAAAATAATATATTACCTAGTTGTCTAGCATGCTATCACCTGATTATGGTGGCAAATATTTGTAATAAAAATCAGTTAATAAGCAAGCCACTATTTTATACACTAACCTCAGATTTTTATAAGCTAACTTCAGTCTCAGAGTTGACTTAAGAAGCACCTTCACGTAGAACATATGTTGGGGGGTTTTTTTTGCGTGCCTGTTAAGGCTGGGGTAATTAAGGGGTTAATTAGAATCTTAAATGCTTGCTTTGTATGTTGCGAGATACATCTCACTCTATAAAAATAGCTTTATGACATGAGAAAAAGTGGGTTTTTTTTCATTATAATTGCCTGTCTTGCGTATTGGTAGCATGAGAGTCCAAATGAGAGCCTGTAAACATTTTTTTAAAAGGTTTCCCATTTTCTTTTATTATTTATAATAATTGAACTCTCTTGCTTTCTTGATGTTCATATTGCCACAACGTTCCTGAAGCTGTACTTACTGTCAGTTACTGCTACACTATGGCTATAAAGGTTGTACAGAACTGCACACAATAAAAACAAAATAAATGCAGTGAAATAAAATCGTGTGGCTTTAAGCCCACCAAGGCAACGCCAACAGCACCCACCTTTGCCATGAAGGGGGTAAACTGGGGTCAATCGATTCCAAATTTCATGTTGGTTTTTTTTTAATGCCTCACAGCTCACATCAGCTTCAACCTTTGTTCTTCGAGGGGCTTGGCATTTCGTTGTCTTTTCTGGTTATTAATTTTTATGGGACACCTGATGCCCATGGCAACACGATGTGCGTTTTCAAACATTCCCGCTGCGTGCGGTACGCTGCAGCTATGCGTGGCCCGCTGTCCCGCGACGGCATCTGCCACCCCTTTACTGCTCATCCACAGAAAAGAGTTATTCTGAGATTTTCTGAGGACCTGACAGGTATCGCCAGGGTACGTGTGGCCGCCCTGCACAGGCAAGAGGCCCCAGGCTGCCAACCGGCCGGGCC